GAAGCAAAGGGGGCAGTGAACTGCCGATAAAGTTAAATTTTTCTCTTTGTGCTTAAGGCATATTGATGTGTTGGTTTTATAAAACAAATAACCAGGAATAGTAAAGAACTTTTTATTTGTTAGATGTGTTTCTAAACAAAGCATTACATTCACACTTTCTCGGGTCATGAAGTTTGTGAGTTCACGTTTATGTTGGCTTAAGCCGTTTGCATTCCATGTACAAATTTTTAAAGTACTCATTTATTAAGCTCTGGGTGAGAGTGGAGATCATTATTTCCAAACTATTGCTTTGAACTGGAGGCGCTTGTTGATTGTCAGATTTAACGCCATTAGCATATGAAACACCTGGTGTAATAGGCTTAGAAGTTAAAGGTTGGGGTACTTCAACTAATTTGATGGGGTTACTTCTTGTAGGATTACGCAACGTTTCTTCCTGCAAAGCTAACCTGTGGTTTAGTTCTTTATAAATAGGATAGCCTCTGTAGTTTACGGTGTAATTTCCGCAGCAGGTGCTACCTTTTTTGGAGTTGGAATTCTTTAATGTCTTAATGTCTTTTTATCGTATTCGGAACTACGGTAAAGTTCAACTTTAAACATGGGTTGTGGGATCTTATTTTTATTAACTATATTTATAACTGCTCTAGCGCCAAAGCCTTTTTCGCTTAGGGCATTTGTGATTTCAATACGTTATACATCTGACTCAATACCTTTGATAACGACAACAAGACGTTTGATACTCTTCAGTTGGTATGTGTAGTAATTTTTCTTGTTATCGTCGAAATGTTTGGTAATGACTCTGAAATTGTTTTCAGTGTCAATTTGTATCCTAGTTTCATATACCATATATTGTTTCTGGTTAAGGGAACAATATGAAAAGCATTGCTAACAAGGGTATTTGAATTGCGTTCACGCATGTAAATTGGTGGGGGCTAAAACATTTTGTTAGTAGGCTGATTAGCTATTTCTGTAAATTATGCTTGTTCAGCAAATCTGTTGCCAGAAAGTATATTTATGAATGCACTATCTTTGTTGTTTTTTTTTAGCACCTCTTAAAATGCCTTTTTAAGAACTAAGTATTCATATAATATTGATATAGCGTTCCATGCCTGTTTGGATTTTAGTTTTATTTTTTGGACTCGCTAAGTCGGGAAATGCAAGCGATTCTGCTGAAGATACAATGTTTTGTAAGCTTTCAGCTGGTGGACTGTGGCAACTTGTTTGATGCGTGTATTACTAGACACGTATTACGTTTGTTTGGGATGCTTATCGTATGTCTTCTCTCTGGGGGAGGATTTGCATTACTTATTTGCATACGTGGTTATGAATGCAAACAGCAGGTTTGCTATAAGATTTACTTATTTTTCTTCTATTAAAATAACATGAAATAACGTTAAATTTTATACAAATATAAGTAAAAATTAAATTAAATTGATATATATATATATATATATATATATATATATAAATAAAAGAAATAAAGAAAAAATAGAAAAAGTAAATATAAATGTTATATTTTATATTGTAGTTAATAAATAAATAATTAAATAATTATAAATAATCCAATTATGGTAGATGTGATGACTGAATTGTGTTGTGCAATGTTGTGTTGTGTTGTATTGTAGGCTTAGATTTGTGTTAGCTTTCGTAAAACTCGTTTTTAATAGAATAATATCTGTCTCCATCAGCACTTTTTTTGTTATGTTCATGTATGCACAAAACCGCACTGATTTTGTTTCTCAAACTTTTTATTTTTTTGCTTTAAATGTTTAATTTGCTGTCTCTGTCAGCTATTTGAGCATTTAAGATTAAGTAGTGCAAAAAGAAAATAAACCAAAATTCGAAAAAGCGCGTGCTATTTTCAAACTAGTATTTTATGCACTTTTTACTTTTGGAATTGCTTTTTATCGATCATTTTATTTTTTTGTGTTTTTCTATTAATTACAAAAGTGGTTTTTACAAAAATACTTAGACTGTTAATTTTAAATTTTTTGAAGACCGATTTGAAAACACGTCCGCTCACTAAAAATGTTGTTGATAATTTTTTTTTTATTTGAGATCCATTTATTTTATTACAATCTGTCAGGTATGAATGACAATAAGTAATATATATGTTTCTCGATGTTTTGCTTCTCATCCTTGTAAAAGTGTTGGAGGGGGACATCAAGTATGTAACCAGCGGGTTTGTGTGCATATATATGCGATGAGCGTAATTCTTTGGTTATTTCTTCCTTGATTGTGCGAACATGTAGTTGTTTATGCAGCTGTTCATTCGTTATATACCAAGATGCATTTGTGATCATCCGCAATGTTTTAGATTGGAAACGCTGAATAATTGCCATGTTTGAGTCTACTGCAGTACCCCATAACTCCATATAGGTTTTAGTACAGATTTGTATATGAGCCGCTTATTGTCGAGTGACAATTTGGAGTTTCGGCTGAGGAACCAAGTTTCGTAATTTAAGACCAAGGGCTTTACGCTTTTTGAATATGTGTGATTTCCAGGTTAGTTTACTATCCAGATATATGCCCAAGTATTTTGTTTCTACAGCTTGTGGTAATTGAGTATTGTTTATTAAAACAGGCGGACACGTAGAACGTTTTGTAGTAAATTTTACCTGGACAGATTTTGATTCATTCGGTTTGATACGTCAGTTTTTCATCCAGAGAGCAACATTGTTAAGGCAGGTTTGACGTTTGGTGGAACACGGATTGGGTCGTCTGCAAATGTACCGATAACACTCTCATCGGTAAGAGGAAGATCCGCAGTATATAAAAGATAAGGCATTGGTCCCATTTTGCTACCTTGAGGTACTCCTGCTTCTATATCATGAAGTACTGTAGTTTCGTTTCCATGCTTAATGAAAAAGTGTCTTGCCGAGAGGTATGATTTTATAAATATGAAAAAATTTAAGGGTAGATTCAGTTTTAGTTTAAAAAAAAGGCTTTCATGCCATACTCGATCAAAAGCTTGTGAAATATTTATGAATGCAGCAGTACAATATTTTTTACCATCTATCACACTATGGATATGTCTGGCAAGTCTATGAATTTGTTCTATTGTGCTATGTTTTAAGCGTAAGCCAAATTGATGGTCAGGGATGAGTCTGTTTTGTTGGATAATCGGCGTAAGGCTCTTTAGAAACAGGATTTCCATAACTTTCGATAGCATTGGAAGTAGACTTACCATATTCGGCGATATGATTTGACGTCTTCTGGGCTTTTCCCTGGTTTCGATATCATGGAGATTTGCGCTATCTTCCACTGTGGCGGAATAAATCCCCTTATTATCACAGCGTTTAATAGATGAGTCAGTAATACAAATCCTTTTGGTGGAAGCTGCTGCAAGGCCATGCCTGTGATTAAATCGTATCCTGGAGCTTTTTTTACTTTTAACTTTGTTATTATATCCCTAACTTCATTAATATAGTATATCTTTCAATTGGAAGTTCCAGTTGATAAGGCTCTTGTAGAAAATTTATCCTTTGTTTCATGATATCAGTCATATTTTGATTATCATTTGGTTTAAAGACCTGGTCCAACTGTAACGCGAATGTTTCTGCTTTTTCAATATCAGTTTTTGCCCATGAGTTGTCTATTTTGCGTATAGGTGGTTGATAAGCAATCGATCTGTTATTCTTTTTTATGACTTTCCAAAGGGAGTAATTTGTATCATATGAAGCACTTAGGTTTTGGAGGTATAGAGACGTGCGATTATTGTTATACTTTAAAAGTAGGGCTTTAACGAGTTTACATAATTTGTTTAAGCGAGTTTTATTCGCAGTGAATCTCGTTTTTTGCCAATGTTTTCTCATCCTACGCTTTTCTTTGATCAGGTATCTAATGTTAAATGGATAATCTTGCTTTACACTTTTAGGAAATGGTGGAGTTGATTCCCATGCAGACATTTGGACACAAGAGTTGAAATGCTCTACTGCTTCAGTTACATCAGATTCAGTTTTCAACCTAACTTCGGTATTTAGACCAATTGTAATTAATTGACGATAACTGTTCCAGTCAGTATTTTTGTTATGAAGAATACATTTTTCCATAATTTCACAGCAGTCATTGAGAATGATTATTATTGGCGAGTGGTCTGATGACAAGTCGAAATTGGACTTACAGGTAGTAGTCTCGATACGTACCCCCTTTGATTGCTTCGAAAAGTTGTCGTCCGTTTGGAGATATTAGGCGGGAACCCCATTTGAAGTGTTTAGCATTAAAATCTCCGCCTACTAGAAACCTAGATCCAAGCAGCTGAAAAAATGATATGTACACATCCTTCGATATACTGTGGCGCGGTGGGCTGTGGAGGGATGAGAAAGTCATGTCGCCTTCATTAGTTTGTACTACGATGTTTGTTACCTGAATTTCATTCGTGCAATATGGTTTTACTTCATAATGTTTTATCGATATCCTTATGAGGACCGCAAGGCCTCCATTTCCTTTACCACTGGGATACATTGTGTGATAAAATAGTTGTTGTTGATAATAGAAAAAAAAATATGAATATGAATAGTACTTGACACGTTTAAGTTGTGACATCGCTGCATTATAATAGATTAGTTTGTACATTCAACACCCATACAGTGATTATATAAAAGAAGCTTATAGTACAGTAACGTCAGTGATATACTTTTTCGTTATTCTTTTTATTTTTAAAGTCTGTACAATTTCGATAAAAACTAAAAACGTGTTGGTAATACAAAGAAACCCTTTGTGTTTAAAAAGTAAATTAATTTAGTTTTTTGTTACTTCGTTGAAGAGCTTCACTAATAAGTGATTTACAAATAGTTTAAATCATGATATAAGCAGCTTCAGCTGTAACAACAATAATGCAAAAAACTCGTTAGGTTAGGTTAGGTTATAATATACCTAACTCGTCACTACCCATAAATATTTTAATTTATAGTAAACTTCATCCATTTTTAAGTCTAATCTTACACTCATTTATATTTGAAACCAATTAAAAATTTATATTTTATTCATTCAATAAAAAATAGATAAAAAACAAAGTTCCATTACCGCCTGGTGTCTCTTCAACTAGTCTGCTTCCAAAGCTAATACGCACAAAAGATGTTAAGCAATTACAGGATGGAAGTACACAGTCCACGAAACCAAAATTAACAGTAAGACCCAAAAAGATATAATATTTTTGGCAATCATAAACGCATATTTTTGTACTAAATAGAAATGCCTTAATACTTTGGATTTAACTTCACTTGGAATTGGATCGTGCTGTGGCACTGGTATGTATTTAGTAACGGGAATGGTTGCAAAAAACATGGCGGGACCAGGTGTAATTATAAGCTTTTTAATAGCTGCAATGGCGAGTATATTTTCGGGTATGTTTTTATACATAGAAAGTATAAGTAATCCAGTGAAATATGTTAAATAAAAATAATATATTGTCATCTTTTATATAGGAGCTTGTTATGCTGAATTTGGTGTCCGCGTTCCTAATACTTCTGGTTCCGCATATATGTATTCATATGTAGCAGTTGGTGAATTTGTTGCATTCATAATTGGTTGGAATATGATATTGGAGTATTTAATAGGTTAACTATGTCATTCACTTATGTCCTTTTAAACCTTAATTTAAAACTTTCATTCTAAAAGGAACAAGTGCCTGTGCATGTGCGTTGAGTTCGAGTTTTGACTCTTTAACTGGCGGTGCAATTACCAGCATCACAACAGATTCAATTGGTACAATATTTGGTAAGCGATTTATACTATATCTTACATCTGATGAAATTTATTTCTGTAAATAACATCTTTCAATTTTTAATGAATTTTTTGAAATAATATCTTCAGGCAAACCACCAGATTTTATAGCATTTGGCATTACGCTAGTTATGACCTGTGTTCTGGCAATGGGCGCTAGTAAATCAGTCATATTCAATCACTCTCTTAATGCGATAAATTTGGCTACGTGGGCTTTTGTTATGGCCGCTGGCTTATTTTATGTAGATACAAGCACATGGACTGAACATCAGGGTTTTCTTCCTTACGGTTGGAGTGGTGTAAGATATTAATGAATTTATTGACATTTATCACATCTTTGATTTTTATTAAGTTATTATTTTACATATATTATATGCATATTTATTATTATGGATAGGCTATACCATACATGCGACCTGAACTATCTTTTGTGCAGTATCTTGTGCACATATCTTATTTATACTTTACAATTAGAAACTTAATTTATTCGCATAACATTTTTTTTTTGTTTCAGGTGTTTTCCGGTGCTGCGACGTGTTTTTATGCATTTATTGGTTTTGATATAATCGCCACAACTGGCGAAGAAGCTCATAATCCGCAAAAGAGTATACCTAAAGCTATTGTTGGCTCACTAGTAATAGTATTGATAGCGTATGTGACTGTCAGCTTAGTATTAACATTAGTTGGTAAGCCAATGAATATTTATTTGAAATCTTTTATATAAATATAGAAGACTGTGTTCTAATAATTTTAGCTAATATACCTGTTTATTTATATATATATAAATAAACAAATAATGTAACACAAAATTGTGTTAATTATTATAATTATAACAAGATATTTCTCAAATCTTTTCTACTAGCAAGATAAGCTAGAAGATAAGCTAGCAAAAACAACGCGAAAATTTCAGACTACGTTATTACCATGCAGAACTAATGCATCATGCCGAGTTCAATGTTTGTCAACAATAGGATCGGATATATCGAAATTCAAGAACAGACTTCCAATTATATGTTACGCAGCATGATTTTGGGAATCTGGAGGAATTAATGGCATTAGCCGAAAACTTTGAAATGATACGTCTGGAACAGCACTCATAACCGGCCTGTCAAATTGGCCTGTCGTCGCTGTGAACAATGCGGTCATATTGCCAGTAGATGCTAAGGACGAACAATACTATTCTGGGATATGTAGCATTGACTATTGCCGAAAACATGTAGGAAACGACAACCGGGAGTGCTCTACCGCGGGGATAGCGACTCCTACGAACAGGAACCCTGTGAACTGCATACAAAATAACAGGATGTCGCTGCAGTCGACACTGGCGCCTCACGGAGCTTCATTTTACAAATACTGGTAGAAATAGTGGGACTCCAACAAAAGACACTCAAAACTGCCGTTAAGATGCGAATAGCAGACGATACTTCACACAATCTTACCTGAAAAACTACAGTACCCCTGTAGTGTTAGTTAAAAAGAAAAATGCTGATTAACGTTTTTGCATAGATTATCGACAGCTTAATGCTAATTCTACTAGACGCTAAACCATTGTCACGAATCCACCATATCTTGCTCTGTAAAAGTGTGCTTCCTATAGAATTTGTAGCGCATTTCTTTTAGAATTGGATATAATCCAATAAAGTGTATTATATTTTCTGGCTGGTCTAAATTACACAATGAACAATGTGTTGAATTTACTTGCACATATGGTCTATAATTTAAATTAAGGAGTTCGCCCCGAGTTTTACAATCTGGCTGATAGTTCCAATAGTATAATCATCTTTAAAATAATTCTGATCGCGTAATTCATACTCCAACCTTTTGTAAGCATGTCTATAATCACTTGCCCTTGCTGTCAATGTAAATTTAGCTCTTTCATTCGCCATAATTTTTGTCAATAAATTTTTTTGCCACGAATGCCATACAAAGCTGACTAAACTACGGCTGACAAAAATAATCAAGTTGCTGTAACAAAAATAAATCCAAAATTACTGGACCTACTAGTGTTAGAACAGTCATTTACGCCCAAACTGTGAAGGGACCCATTCAAAGAACTGACTCACAAATCAACAACGCGTTGTCAATTATCTTAACAAAACTTAATCTACAAGAAGAGGTATTTAAAACCCTCGAACAACGTCTGAGCGTGCTAGAGCACAATATGCAATTTTTAGATAATGACTAATCGTTTGAAACTATTCTTATGGAATGCGAATGGCTTAACAAAACATAAAAATGAACTCGAAGTCGTATTAAATAGCGAAAACATTGATATCGGTCTAATCGCTGAAACTCATGAAACTCGCATAGAACGTTTAAAAACTATACTCTATACCATACTACACATCCCGATAATTGCGCTAGGGGTGGCAGCGCTGTCATAATTAGAAACTCGATAAAACATAACTTACTAGAACATGCGCATTAGTCAGTGATTGCCATTTTTCAACAAAACCTGTCTTCGTATTTGCGAGCAAACTTGCTAGAATTTTAGGGAGTCTATTGTTACTCAGATTCATGACGTGATTTATATATTTAAAATTTAGTTTTAGCGTCTCTATATAGAAAGTTGACAATCCTGTTTCTAAATGTAGCATATAGTTGAGCGTGTTTTGCGGTAACTTAAATATTCTTTTTACGAAGTACCTTTGAAGCATTTCTACTTCGTTATATTCGTCTATTCCCCATACATGTGCTGTATAAAAGAGGATTGATTTTACCGCCGCTTGAAATAATTGAAACTTTACCGAGGTCGCAACCTCATTTTTTCCTAAAATTACTTTCCATGACAAGTTTATTGCATTTCTGGCTTCATTTAACTTTTTACTGAGATGTTCATTGAATTTACCATTATAACTGATCCAAACTCTTAAATATTTGTATTCTCTCACTACTTCTAACGCATCACCATTTAAGTTACAAATTTCATTTTTCATAAGCCTTCTGCAATTCCTCTTGAATATCATAATTTTAGATTTAGAAATATTTATTTTAAGTTTCCATATCATACAGTAGGCATATAATTCATTGATTATAGTTTGCATCTTTAAAAGTGAGTCCGCCATAAGTATTAAATTATCTGCATATAATAGTAATTTAATACATGTTCCATTTATTAGGATACTTTCGGAAAGATAATTGTTTAAATCGTCTATGAATAACGCAAAAAGAAGAGGGATTACCAAGCAACCCTGTTTTACTCCTGTGTTCGAAGAAAACCACTAATAAAGACTGTTTCCGTCCCATACTGCTGCAGTCGTGTTAAAATATAACGCCCTCAGTATGTTTAGCATTTTTGTAGATATACCATAATTACTTAACTTATGAAACATAGCATCTCTGTCGATAGAATCAAATGCGGCTTTAAAGTCTACAAAAAACATGTACAATTTTTTTCCTTTTTCAACGTATAATTTTCTATTATTTGTCAGAATAAAAACATTGTCCACAGTTGAGTAACCTCGCCTGAAGTCTGCTTGGTATTCACCCAACTTTGCAAGCGTTGATGTAATATGCCTGTAAATACTTTTGCTGCCGAATTTAAAAAGGATATTCCTCTATTATTTTTTACGTCATGCGGATCACCTCCTTTAAATAGTGAAAAAACTATTGAATTTTTAAAACATCCCGGTACTTCTGAATTATCGTATATGTAGTTAAAAATCTCTGTAATTCTTGTGATACCTTAAACTTAAGCAAATTTTAAAAATTCTGCTGAAATTCTATCTTCACCAGGCGCTTTATTTTCTTTGCAACGCTCTAAAACCTCTGTTAATTCAACTACCTCGATTTTTTTGTCTAATTCATTGATTTGAATTTTTGTGCTTAAAAGTTTTTCAAAATAAGTACCTAGAACGCCAGAATTAAGATGCACTGACTTACTGAAATTTATGCCATTTACTTTACGTACATTATTCCAAAAGCTTTCGGAGTCTTTTATTGATGATAATGATAAGGTAAGACCATTAGTGTATTGGATTCTTTTATTATAACAAACAGTTCTGTAAACGCTTTTGGCTGTCTTATACTCATTCCAATCAGAAACTAGGCCCTTTTTTGTCGCCATTTTCAAGTTATTAAAACAGTTTCTCCTTGCAATTTCACACTCTTTAGAGAACCAATCTTTATTCCATTTTCTCTTCGTTGGCCCTTGTTGAAATGGACTAGCAGCTTCATTTATTGCTGTATTAAGTGTTGCTATCATTTCATCAGCTGTAGCTTCACACATTACATCACTGTTCAATAATTGGTCAAGATTAATCTGATATAAGTTCAAATATTGTTTTTGAAGCTCCATTGATGCTTATATGGCGTTTACATTGGCCGAAAATGGCTCATTTTGATCAAAAATCGAAAATGAGTATCGAATGGCTCATTCTTGCATATAAAATTTCAAGCGCAAAAATGAGCAATTTTCTCACATTCTGTATGAAAGACGTTCGAATGCATTCCACATATGTTCCAAATGCAAAGGAATCTATTGAACATACCCTAAATGAAAGCTCTTCATGGCATTTTGACAGTTTGAAAAAGCTGTTTTGACATATTTACAAAAAAAGGTAAACAAATGTTTGGTGGTTGCATTTTCTTTAAAACGATGCACCAATTTTTGGAACTTCTACTTCCCAAAAATAAATAAATCGAATCTAGAAACAAGTTTTCAGTTTATATTGTAAGGTTTGAAGGTATATTTAACCTTCCTGTAACATTTTTTTGGCACAGACCAAAAATTAAATCAACAAATGACTCATTCAGAATGAGCCATTTTCAGCCAATGTAAACGCCATATTAAGTAGTAGATTCATATTTTTACAGTAGTTTATATGATTTAATTTAAACGTTACTTCCACGGGTAGATGGTCAGAGTAGATTTTCTCTTGTATACTAAGTTGCTGTATAATATTTAGAAATAAACCTTTTAAAACACAATAATCAATTGTTGACGTTGCTCCACCACGTGCAATTGTTATTTCGCCCTCTAAATCGCCACTAATTCTACCATTCATTATTGTGAGCCCTAGAGCTCTATTAAACAACTCTATTAATTTTTTTTCGTTCCTATCTAGAGTTAGATCTTTTGCATTTCTTTGTAACTTTGCGTTTCCTTGAGGTAATTCTGGAATAAACTCAATAGCTTGTTAATTTCCTATTATTCCATTAAAATCGCCTATAACCATCATATTTATATTGTCTATATCATATAGTGGGTCCCTTAAGTCGGTGAGATCAGCATCCTAATTATTACAATTTATATACACTGGAACAATGTAGGCCTTTTGATCTTCCAATTTTAGCTCAACCACCATAAAATTAGCCATCTTATTAAATTGCGCTATTCCTTTATCATACACTTCTTTCTTAATACCATAGAGCATTCCTCCACTGGCACGTCCCCTGCTGGCTTGTCTTGTTGCAGTCACCCAATGTAAAACATGATTTTTAATTTTATTTTCAATGTAGTCTACTTCATTTTCTAAGAAAGTTTCATACAATAAAAATACATTTAAATAGTAAAAAAATAATTATATATCAGCTTATTTTTAAGACCTGCTACATTATATGATAAGATTTTACAAGTAAATTCTGTTTTTAACTCTACATTATTTTCTATATGAGCATTAATATTTCCATTTTCATTATTTCTGTGTTCACAATATCTTAAATATGCTGAATGTGAAATATTTGGTTTTTAGATTTTTCCAATAAATAGCTATAGCTTAAATCTCAAGTAGCTATTCTATCACCATAAACTTTTTTAAGTACGTCATTAGCTGGCTGCTTATTATTTACTAAAATACCTGCGCTGTTGAAGTACATTTGCCGTATATCTTAATGGAATCATTGCGTACAAATACCTTTTGACCATTGTCCAACGACATGAGCTGCTTTTTCAACTGCAGCTCATAGTAGAGACCTATTCCATTGGCTTGTGTTACCATTCGGCTTATATTCTACACCGGCCATTTGATCAAGTTATAAGAGTAGATTTGGAACCCCATGCTTTCGCGTATCTGGATAATATTATTGTTACAAGAACAAACTGTACGTTATGGGGCATATATTTACATGCAGCACCATTTTATCCCGTTATATCAAAAATTTGCAGACGAATACAATTTTTGTCTTTTGGTGTTTGAACTTAAGAACTCCAAGAAAAAATATATGTATGAAGATAATTCTGCAAGTGCAGTAAAACACAATTTTTATATTAACTTAAACTCTTCGTTTCACTCAGCTTAATACTTAAAGTTCTAAAGTAGTTATACCTACACAACCCTGACGATGTACTTTGATACCCCAAAAATGGTGAGGGCGTGTACAATGTGTGACCACTTTGCCGAATTTATTGCGTTCCTCATGTCAAGTGTGACTACAGCACAGTAGTCCTTCGCACCATCTCTCCATCTAGTGTCTGAGGTGGCCTCCCTTACTATCTTAACAACCATGTCGACTGCGTCAAGAGCGATTTTTCGCGAAGCCGAACTGTCGCTGATTTAATCCATTTGGGCTTTCAAGGACTTCACTCAAATGACGGACTATGATG